CCAATGTATATACTATATATATAATGTTCTATTTAGCTTCTAAATGCTACAGAGAGCGGTTTACGTGCAGCACGTCCTGTCACAGTTCAGTGAAACTCACCACCAGCATCATGGGCTCGTGGACGTTTCCACGAAAGAGTTGCTTGTTCTGTCTGAGCCACTGGAGGGCAGCGTGTGTGTCCCTGTGACGTCCTCGCAGCTTCTCCTCTTTGGCATTCATCATGTTGTTCATGTCGTTGAGCTTCTTCTCCAACACTGATAAAGAAAATGAATCGATTCTACGTGTAAATCTGTTGCACATAATGTGCTTTTGTCAGCGAAATGTGCGCCAAAAAAAAAAAAGAAGTCATCTTTGTTTATGCAAATTGTTTTGGGAAGCTCACTTCTAGATTCAGCACAAAGGTTGTCCTTCTCCCTGCGCAGGTCGCCCTTCTCCCCTTCGATCTTGGCTCTCTCCTCCTGAATGCGCCTCAGATCAGCGTTGACGGCGTTGATGCGCGGGGTTACATCCGGCTGGTCGCCAACTTTGGCGAGCTCCGCCTTCAGGTCTTCGATGGTTCTTCTGGTGTTGCTGATTCGCTTCTGGTGGTCTTCCTCCTCCATCTGCTTAAGTCTGAATTTTTGTTTAATATCGTCGATCTGCAGAGAGGAGTGCAGAGAGCAGTCGTGTATTAACAAAAGTCTGCTTTATGTCAATTAAGTACAAAGATAAAAAGCACAACGTTTTATTAATTTAGTCTGTACCAAATGTAAAACCAGGAGTGTAAAAAAAAAAAAAAAAAAAACACAGCCGCACCTCTTTGTTTTTTCGATCCAGCTGATCTTGTTTCTGTTTGCACTTCAGCGAGGCTTCTTTGATGGCAGCAGTCTGAAAAACAACAACCTCATCTTCACCACCATCATTACAGGACTTGTGAACTGAAATTGCAATATGAACTTATTTTACAGTCTCTAATTCAGAGTTCCTCTACTACAAAACCATCATCATTTATTTATATAGCACTTTAAAAACACACCTGGTAGACCAAAGTGCTGTACAATACAAATATGCATATAGTAATAAGATAGCAGAAACCAGACATAGCAATAAAATTAATTTAAAAAAGAGTCAGTTACCCACAGAGTTAAAAGCCAGGGAATAAAAA